TCAATGTTTCTGCTGTGCTTCTCTAAAATATTCCCTAGTATTTAAAGGTCATATATGTCAATGATTTTCAAATAATCTTATCTACATGTACAATTTAGTGAGTTAAAACACAGTAAAAAGTCCTAAGTAGCTCCAACGAGATTTTCCAGTGTTAACACATAGGGAATGACCTGGTCATTTCAGCTTTTGCTAAGTAAGTAAGACCTACTTACTATATATTTTTCCTTTATTTTTTTTTTGTAAAGATTTAAAAAAATAATTTTCATATTTTCAAACTTTTTAAGTAGGGTTAAATCTTAAAATCAAGGGAAATTGAAAACTGTGGAGATAAATGAAATAAAAATACTTGATAAATTATTTTTAAAAAAGAAATACGTATCAATCCTTCGAGAAACAAAACCATATATAAATAGTTATGGGATAGTTACTTAGTATTAGGTACACTTTGAGTATATCTCAAGGAGTCTTGAGAAAGCAAGATGATGACACCATCATCTTGAGTGCCTTCTATGGGTTAAGCATTTCATAAACATCATCTCACTTAAATGTCACAGCAACCTATAAAATAAGTTTTAACCAAAGCTTAGTCAGGCTGTCACTTACACATGATAAGTGGTAAAAAGATTAGAACAAAGGTCTGAATCCAAAGTCTGAACATTTAATCACTACTTATTTCAACAGTGTATTATGAGTGAAAAGTGATTGCAGTCAAAAAGAAATGTCTGAAATCCCAAATCTATCTTACTTGCTGGCGTATACCCAGTGCCTAACACAATGCCTGGTACATAATGACCCTTCAATAAATATTTCTTGTTTGATTTTTAAAGAAATTAGCTTAGTTCCTATAAAGTGCCTAATAAAAATAGTAATGATGGTGATGTCAAAAAAGGGGAGGGTAAAAGGGTCAACCATTTGAGATTTTATCACAATAGAGGAAAAAACTGAGTTTCAAACTCTCATGAGATCACATCAGAGTGACAGTATTCACATTATGTAGAAGCCAACAAGGAAGTAAAGGAAAGAGGATAACACTATTTTAACAGTTTACATGAAGGTTTATTATCGGTATACATTAGATTAAAGCCCAAAGCTTTTGTATCCCATTTCTTTTATTTTGGATTCGCATTTAAGTAAAATGCGAAAAAATCTTTCCATGACTTCAGATATTATCAAAGATTTAAGAATTTTATAAAGATAGAAATAATCAATATTACTATTAGCTACAACTTACTGAGTACCAGTTATATATTAGGTGCTTTTATATATTATCTATAATCCTTAAAATTATCTGGTAAATTAGTTAATATTCACATCTTACATGGGAGAAAGTAAACCTGAAGAAGCTAATAAGTAACCTGCCCAAAGGCACACAGCTGGTATTAAGTATCAAAGCTGTGATTTGAACCTCGGTCAATCTGATTCCAAGGCTTCTGGTTTTCCCATTATTTCAATGTGCCTCACAGAGAACTTATGTGGTTTTGACTACACCAGATTATTTTTGTTTTTTTTAAGATTTCATTTATTTGTCAAAGAGAGAGAGAGAGCACAAGCAGGGGGAGCGGCAGGCAGAGGGAGAAGGAGGCTCCCCACCGAGCAGGGAGCCTGATGCAGGACTCGATCCCAGGACCCTGGGATCATGACCTGAGCCAAAGGCAGACGCTTAACTGACTAAGCCACCCAGGCCTCCCGACTACACCAGATTCTTATTCTTATATTCAATCAGGTGGGAAGAAATATATACATAAGTTACATAATACACATAAAGACAAAAACAAATGAGAAAATCTGAAAGACAACAAAAATGGCGTAGGTAAAATGACAAGATTAGATCATAGCCATCATATAAATTTCATAAAACATTGGTTTATGTGGTCTTTATATATCAAACCTATCACAGGAGTCATCCTAAGATTAGAAAGCAAGCAACTTTTTAAAAAAATCACATCTTTAGTGATTAGCAATACTAATCTCTAATCATAGTAGTACTAATACTAAATCTAATCCATACTCATTGCAGAAAACTTGAAAGGGCAGAAAACTTAATTGAAACATTAATACATCTATTAATAACTACCCAAATTTGCCTTTTGTTTCATATAATGTACATGTATAAATATATTTAACAATATTATACTTAAATACAGTTTTCCCCTACTTTTCACTTAATGTTGTTGTGAAGATCTTCTCATATCACCAAATATTATTCAGAAATGGTTTTTAGTTATTGCATGATGTTGGACAGCATAAACGTATCTTAATTTATTTAACCATTCTGTTAGTGTTTAATTGATTTTAATTTTCTGGCTATCCTAACAAATACTGATATGAATATTCTTTTTTTTTTTTTTAAAGATTTTATTTATTTATTTGAGACAGAGAGAATGAGAGAGAGAGAGAGCACATGAGAGGGGGGAGGGTCAGAGGGAGAAGCAGGCTCCCTGTCAAGCAGGGAGCCCGATGCGGGACTCGATTCCGGGACTCCAGGATCATGACCTGAGCCGGAGGCAGTCGCTTAACCAACTGAGCCACCCGGGCGCCCCTGATATGAATATTCTTACATATAAATCTTTGTATCATATATTGCAAGGAAATGGCTCCTATTTCCTTTGAGGACCTCATATTTTAATTAACATTTTATTTGAAAAATCTATAAACATACATTTTTGTATCTTATTTGCAATTTCCAATGGTTAAGAGATTTTTTGCATGTATTTCTTCTAATGGTGGGATATCTTGATATTTTTAAACATTTATTTTCCGCTTAAGTACATCATAATACATAAATGTGTATACATATTTATAATATACTTAACCAAGTACACTTTTTATTTTGAATATGAAAATAAGCAATGAAAGATACAAACATCAATATGTGGATTTTTTTTATTCTCATTTTATGGATTATTATCCTTCCATATGATACTAAAGAAAATATTTTTCACATGTAATCATATTCCTATAATGTTCCTCTTTCTATTAAGGTACTGACATAGTTGTTTTTGTTACTATGTTTTGCTTTTTGACTACACTTACTACCAGTTGGGTAGAAAATAAGCTATTTAAGGCTATATGTGTGAGAAAATATGAAAAAATGATGAGTCTATCAAGAATCACTTAATGAATTTCTTATAGTTGCAAACCAATGGATTTCTTAAGCAATTCAGTTTTTTAAAAAAATTTTGACATATTACGATGATGATTCTAATGTCACAAGTAAAATATGTTTAATCTTTTTTAGTAGGACTGAAACATTAAAAAGATACACATTGAAAATTTATACTTTAAATAACTTTAGAGGATTTTCATTTTTGTCATTTTTGTAACTAAATGGTTGGATGTATCTCTTTTAACTCGATTGCTTTGTTCCAGAGAAACTATATAGCACTGCTATTTTTATCAATTTAGGAGGCTACCAAAAAATACTAAACATTTTTCAAACATTTACTAAAATAATATTGTATCATTAATAAGAAATATTTGATTAACAATAATCGTAAGGCAATCAAATTCTTTCCAATTTATGCATGCATGATTCATACTATTTATTCAAAGGGAAGTCTTAAATATATACAAATAAGTAAATATTTGAAGTAGATGATTAGCTATATCATACAAAAGTTTTAAGAGTAGATAATACTGCTTAATGACTTTTCCCCTCCAAGACATAAATCATCTATGCAGACATATCAATTCATGCTTTTCATCAGTGAAATGTCCTAAATGGCCTAAATTGTGCCAAATTACTCCTGTAAGGCACATGCAGTCATATTATGATACAAACTCCTTCAAACAAATGTACTTCTTTTAATACCTTCCTAGCAATTAGTATACACATATTTGATTATAAAAAACCAAGACACTTCCAAATTGTTCCAAATTTGTATCTGAATTATTCATTTTAAATATATTGTTAATTTTCCATAAAATATATTAGCCTCATATTTCTCCACTAAATAAGATACAAAAAATTCATGGTAGTTTAACATTAACAGAAAAGCAACAATTTGTTATTTTAGCTGGAGTATTTATTTATGGTAATTTTGGTTTTATTTTCATAGTAATGTTTAGTTCTATTTCGCATAGACAGGCTATACCAGTGAATGTGTCCGACCTAAAATACCAGAATTCTTCCACATATGCAACCAGCCTAATGTAGCTCATAAAATATGATTATAACTTCAAACTAACCACAAAATACAATTTTTTCTTAAAATCATTCCAATTGATACAAAAACGTTAGAATAAGTAACCTTTAAAATGCCTCTGCATGTTAATTTCTATTATACTACGAGATTTCTATCCTTAACATAAAACAGTGTGAGGAAGAGAGTCACAGACTACTGAGAATCATCTGATCTTATCTGTAACATATCACAGATACATTAAAAAAATTTCTCCATGCAAAGACCTGTGAGTAAAGATAGACTCCAAAACATATTTAAGGCAGTCATTTATAATCTTAAACTCTGGCAACCTTTCATTTTAATCTTCCCAGTGAAAATATTATCTCCATCATCATCCACATCATCAGATGAAAATTTATTAATTGCACAAAACAGATTTTTTAATCAAATGTAGGTTTCCATTGGCAATGAATATATGACTATCTTCACACAGAAGAGAAGTATTTCCTCTCAACGAGCTAAAACAATAAGTGGTATTTGAACTGCTGGTTGAAAGGTAGAGGCACTGGTAATCATTATTTTCCCTTGTTTGTTCAGGCCCTTCCAAGAAAACAAACAACCTTTTTGTGATTGGATTGACATGGTGTTAACAATGCATTTAATGCCCAAATCAGTATGAATACAGGTAAAGCTCTCACTAATACCAGTACCAGGATGTTAAAGCCACCTCTTTTCTATGCAGCCAAAAAAAAAAAAAAAGAGAGAGCCTTCCCTCCTTTGGCAAATAAGCTAGTATGCTAGTATTCACCAAGCCACATCATATAATAACCTTGTGTATGATTCTTAAGACCATATGTTAATACTCATCTACTATACCTGCTGTCTTTTCAGCAATGTGAGCTTCTGTTGCTTTCTCCTGGAGTTCCAGCTTAAGCTTTAGTTTTCTCTGTTCCTTATCTTCTTTATACAATTTTTCTTGAAGCTAAAACACATTGAAAAAACACAGATTCTTATTTGAAATATTTCTTGCAGAAATATACTTAATCCCAAAGTAGAAATTATTTTTTCTAAGCCCTTCTATATTACATTTAACTGCCTAAATACGTAACGCCAGGGGGTACCCCATAATATTTAAAATTTTAAGATATTTCATAAAGTAATAATTACCTATAATGATATAGAAATTATAAAAACATTCTGGAGTGGGGGGTGGGGTGGGAGGGATGGGGTGACTGGGTGATAGACACTGGGGAGGGTATGTGCTCTGGTAAGCGCTGTGAATTGTGCAAGACTGTTGAATCTCAGATCTGTACCTCTGAAACAAATAATGCAATATATGTTAAGAAAAAAAAAAGAAGAAGGTAGCAGGAGGGGAAGAATGAAGCGGGGGAAATTGGAGGGGTAGACGAACCATGAGAGACGATAGACTCTGAAAAACAAACTGAGGGTTTTAGAGGGGAGGGGGGTGGGAGGATGGGTTAGCCTGGTGGTGGGTATTGAGGAGGGCACATTCTGCATGGAGCACTGGGTGTTGTGCACAAACAATGAATCATGGAACACTACATCTAAAACTAATGATGTAATGTATGGGGATTAACATAAGAATAAAAAAATAAAAAAACACATTTTGATATATACTTAATTTGTATGTGTGTATACAGGCAAATGAAATTAAAGAAGGAATAACATAATTATTAAAAATAACTACTGCAAAAACCAATCTGATCTGTTCTTTTGTCTTAAAGCAAAAGACTTGGAAGGCACTATCCTAATAAAATAACGGACAGCACCGCTTTACAGCTTCTCTTAGTAATTCTAATATTTTGAAACAAAATTAATTAAGATAATAATCTTAATATGTGAAACAAATCTCCTTTGAGAATGCTATCCCATCATATTCCATTTAAATTGGCACTGGCACCTCATTTATAACTGGCATGTAATAAATAATTGCTAAATGAGAATACAGAAAATATCTCCTGCTTTCATACAGAACCCCTCAAATGTTTTTTGTTTTTTGTTTTTTTAATTTCTCCCTTGGCTTTTGTCATTTGTGTTGTTTTCCGTCAGGCACGATCAACATTCCTAACAACATGCTTCGGTATGATTAGGTCAAAAAACTAGAATATTAAAATCAGAAAGGTATGTAGAGGTATGCAGAGGTTAAAAAAACAGAAGGCATAGAATATGAACATTATTCAATAACACTTAAAGCTCAAAGAAATGTAACTAGAAAGAGTCAGGAAAGATAAAACATGACATGACAAATTGGATTGGGCAAAATGCAGCAGTATATAACAACACAAGGAATGTGACAATATTGCCAAGCCTTATGACTTTAAAGTTTAATTACATATATCACTGAGGTGAAATACAGGGCATCGATACTAATAAAAAAAGAAAAAAAAACTTAAGTAACACGAAATCAGTACATTGCATTTCTCACTTTCCATAATACTGAAGTAAACTTTTACTACAGTAAAACTTGAATCTTTTCTTTAGGTACCTACTCTGGGCATCATAGATTTATGAAAAAGGAAGTGATATCACAGGCCAGCCAGGGAGGAAATTAAAGAAATTGCTTTTTATAGCCAATGTCTCACCTCAGTCATACTCTGATGGTATGGTATGGCGACAACATAAAGCTATACCACTGAAGGATGAAAGTACAGCATGAAACTGAATTATGATGGGCAACAAAGCAAACTTAGGTCAACAGCTAAAGGCACACTGTACAATTATCAGACTTTCTATATTGTACCTTTTTATTGCTTGCTCTGAGAATGTCCAATTCTTTTAGAAGAAATGCTATTTTCTTCTCTTTATCTAAGTCTGAAGTAACTTGACAAGGGATCATACACTCACAATGCAAATGATTCTCTCTATGTTCCATAATGCTGCAATAAAAAAAACTGTTAAACAATATACACATATGATTTCTACTATACAGGAGCTATAAGTTTTACAGTGCAAATGAGGGAGACAAATTTAATTTTAACAAAGAACATGTAAAGCTACTTAATTTTAAATTTCTCTTTTTATACAGTGTTAAGAAAATACTATGGATCAAAAAGAATAAATACATCAATTTCACAGAGGTACTAATCTAACAACTAAGAGAGCTAAATCTGTGGAAAGCATTTAGTAACTTCTACAGAGATTCATGGTTCAGTACACTTAAAGAATTCAGGTTTTAAGGGTTGTGAATAATTCAATTTATACTTTTGGTCAGGAGTCTAGAAACTTATCTCACTTTCTGGAAAATGGGAACAACAATCATACTTTTTTCAATTTGGCTGACAGAATGTCATTTTTTCATTATTAAACTCAAAACAAATTAAAAATGAAAACCTAGTCCTGTGACATTTAATGGTAAATAAATTTTTTTTTTACATTTTGTATGCTATTTGAGAACAGTATCCACTTGTTAGCAAGTAGTATAAAGAAGGGAAGGGAAAAGAGATGGACCATTTTTTGAAGGCATTACATTAAAGTTGTAAACATAGGTAAATCTTAGAGTTTCTAAGAAGTTAAGCAGTGAGGTCTGGGACAGTCAGTGCAGCTCTACCTACCATGTATTTCTTCTTTTGCAATGATATTAGATATTTCATACTGTGGCTTTAGCCCAATCTCTACTATTTATTTGTCCATGTGGTTATAAAATGTTTATCACTTCTTCATTCATCCCTACTCCTATTCCCCAAAAGTATATCCCAAATCTGCACTTTAGTAATGATGTAACTGTTTGCCAAAAAGTAGGAACACATTAATAAATATCTACTACATTATGTTTAATGTTCATTAATATATCTACTGAATAATTTTTAAATAATTATTTTACTTATTTAGCTGTTCTTAGGCAAAACTGTTAAAATATACTATATTAAATAAGATTCTGTTTGGATTGAATATATAGTAATTGAAATTTTTGTAATTCTGGAGTATTTTCAAAATATATGACTAATTATCAAAGTACTTTAATCCCATAGAGGTAAAAGTCACAGGTGTCACAAAATCAAATCTCTTCCTGGGATAAGTAGGTAAGGTGAATGTTAAAAGCTGCAGAATGGAAAATAATAAGGAAGACACATGGGAGAGAGTACAAGGCCTTTTCTAGAAGCATTCAAATTCATTTAAACAAAAAAGCATGCTAACAAAACCCAAAACATATCTTTGGCCTTATTTTGTCCTAGAGATGCCAGTTTTGGGCTCTGATGATTAATTTCCCATTTATATCACAGTAACAGTTATTTCCAGATCCAAAATGAAAGGACACAGAAAATAATATTCAACTTTGCCTTCATTTAAACTCACCTTGTGCTTTTTCACTTAGCAATCTACACACATTACGCCAATGTAAAGAAAACAGTAGAAAACTTTGGTAGATTGCCCAAATTCCAGTAAGTTTATTATATGTCCAATTTAGCCCAAGCCAAAAAGAAAGGGAGGGATGAATGGAGGAAGGAGGAAGGGAAGAAGAGAGTTCTCCCAATCTTGTTTTCTAAATTTAGGGCTGGCAGCACTCACTTGGATTTTTTAGTAGTAGTGTCAGCTGTCTCATCACCTGGATAAGGAAAATTCCTTGATCTCTGCCCTGGCAGTTCTGTGTCCTCATGGGTGGCTTCATTAACTAATTCATTGGATTTCTGCTGCATGCCTTCCTTTGAATTCACAGTTGGCTGTTCATCTGGCTCTGTACTTTTATTTCTCCCTGTAGTCTCTTGTTCAAGATAACTATGGGCTATCTCTGTATTTAAAACAAAGCAAAAACCAATACGTGAAATACCATAGCCACATATTAAATCATTCAAATGAATATTTTTGTGGAAATAGGTGCTGTCATAGCTTTAAACATGTACTTACTAGTATTACTCCTATTGTAATCGGCTAAGCATGTACAGTATAGTTTTTCACTTCTGGTAGGTATTTAGGGCAATGGTTTACAACCTTGACTGCAGGTTGAAATAACCTGAAGCGTTTCTGGAAATCCTTAGCCCAAAACACATCTTATAGTAATTAAATCAAACTCTGTTGGAGCATCCAAATAGCTCCAGCATACAATCAAAGCTGAGAAACACTGATGTAGGGGCCTTATTTTCTAGATTTCTTTTCCAGATTTCAAAAAATAGGATGCAATAAGTTAATGATTATAGGGAAGTGATACTGCGCATGCAACTCTGGTATCAGACTGCCTGGGTCAGAATGCCAGCTTTGCCAAGTGCATAACTTTGGTCAAGTTACTTACCCATTCAAGACTAAGTTTCTTGTTTGTAAAAGGAGAACATAATAGCATTTTTACTTGAGTTATTTTGAGGTTTAACTGGGTTAATACATGCAAACTACTTGGCTTAGTGTTTGGCACATTAGTAAATGTTAGCTATTATTTTTATCACCATTATCATAATTTTAAAATTAACACAATATAAGCATTATTTTTAACCTCCGTTTTTATCAGATATACATTATATATTAGAAAATCTATTTTGTAAAGCCTGGCTATCTCATAAGCTGTTACTTTAAGCTGTAACTAGTAAATAATAGCTATTTCAAAGGAATAGTATATCTGATGATATAGTGAAATTTTTGGAAGAAAATGACACACACACACAAGTACATAAAACAAACTCTTTTTTAAAAATATTTTATTTATTTGACAGAGAGAGACACACAGAGAGAGGGAACACAAGCAGGGGGAGTGGGAGAAGGAGAAGCAGGCTTCCCGTGGAGCAGGGAGCCCGATGTGGGGCTCGATCCCAGGACCCTGAGATCATGACCTGAGCCGAAGGCAGACGCTTAACGGCTGAGCCACCCAGGCGCCCCAAAACAAATTCTTTTACCAGTAAATCAGACCAATAGGCACAAATACTGATTGTAACAAGTACTTTATTATTTCCAGCATCAATAATGCTTAAACTTTAAAAAGCAGGTGAATCTCACCTGTTTGTTGATGATGCCTTTTCCAACCTGTCAAACTTAAAATCCTTTTAAGCAGAAAAGCAGAGGACAGCAGTTTCAGAATAAAAACAAAATAGGGGCACTTATAAATAAGCTATCTTTCACAAAGTATTCATTCCTTAAGGAGAAATTCTTTGCTTGTAGATATGCTGAAATTAGGTGTGACCAGTTATAAACTCCAAGTCCTGGACATTATCTTGTTGGTGCCTGAAGCTAAATCAGAAACTACTTGTTTTTAGTAAATTCCCCTCAATTTCACTTTGAGGAAACAAATAGGGAGAATGTGCTATCATAATTATATACTGTAAGCTATCTATGAAATTTCAACATTATATTGTTTTGATCTAAACTAACAATTCTAGGTATCTGAAGATTATTTGTTGGTTTTGACATTTCAAAATGCTTACATCGTTTGCTTCAGAAGTTCATCATGCTACTTTTCTAGAAGAGGCTGGTATTAGTAGAATGGAACCCCCAAAATCTAAATTAGGGAATTTTATAAATGGACATTAAAGAATACCACTATATCGTCAATAAACTATGCTTTCTAACACTACCATGTAACTTTAAAAGTACAGTTGACCCTTGAACACATGGCTCTGAACAGCACAGTTCCACTTATCCATGAATTTTTTTCAATAAGTATAGTAGAGTATTGTAAATATATTTTCTCTTATGATTTTCTTAGTAACATTTTCTTTCTCTAGCTTACTTTACTCTAAGAATGCAGTATATAATACATATAACATGCAAAATATTTGTTAATTGACTATATTATTGGTAAGACTTCTGGTCAACAGTAGGCTATTAAGTAGTTACGTTTTAGGGGAGTCAACCGTTTCATGTGAATTCTTTTTTTAAGATTTTATTTATGGGGCGCCTGGGTGGCTCAGTCGTTAAGCGTCTGCCTTCGGCTCAGGTCATGATCCCAGAGTCCTGGGATCGAGCCCCGCATCGGGCTCCCTGCTCGGTGGGAAGCCTGCTTCTCCCTCTCCCACTCCCCCTGCTTGTGTTCCCTCTCTCGCTGTATCTCTCTCTGTCAAATAAATAAATAAAATCTTAAAAAAAAAAAAAAAGATTTTATTTATTTATTTTTGAGAGAGAGAGAATGAGCACAAGTGGCAGAGGGAGAGGGAGAAGCAGGGAGTCCGATGAGGGACTTGATCCCAGGACCCTGAGATCATAACCTGAGCTGAAGGCAGACACTTAACTGACTGAGTCACCCAGGCACCCTATATGTGAAGTTTTGACCGCATGGGGTTGATGTCCCTAACCAACAGATTGTTCAAGGATCAACCATAACTGAAATGAAAGAGAATTATAAGTAGTTACTGAAAGCAATATCAAAATAACAAAATTTGTCCCCAGGAATGTATCAGGAAGTTACTATTAGGGCCTATACTATTCTCCAGTTTATGAGGTGCAAAGATTCCCCAAAAGGTAAAAAGATGAACCATGGAGCACTTGCAGTTATAAAAAGTCCCCAGTACTCCATGAAAACACAATACCAACTGCTTCAGAATCTTAAGTCTTGACTCTCTGATCTGTTTTGTACATTATGTACATCATTATGTATATTACCATTATCTTACCACTATGTACAACTTGTTCCATATTTTTACCTCCGTATTTCTGCGTCTAGTTCAGCATCTTTCTCCTCTCAGTTTTTTATTTCCAACCTCCTAGTGTTTGCTTTACTCCATCCCTGGTATCTATACTTGCTATCTGCTTACTTTATTTATAGCTCTCTTTCTTACTTCAGCTTACCGAATGCCAAATTTTATGATCTGCTGAACTCTTGGTAAATCAGCACCTTTTCACCCGGGACTGCCCTACCTTCACCAGACTCAGAGCAGATGTGTGCCCTTTCCAATAAAAGGATTCTTTGTGGATCCCTCCTGGATTATAGTAATTATAATCCCTTATAGTATTATTAAAATAAACTCAGTCCTAATGTACTTCTGGATTTGAATTCTAAATGTTTAATATTGTTGAAGAACCCCATACTGCGTGACTTGGCTCTGATTAATTCTAGATGTTTCTAATCTTGCTCTGTCCTAAGAGCTTTTCGATTCCCAACTATAACCGCTTACCAAACATTTGGAGCCTCCTCTGCAAATCAGACTATCCATACTCTTCTATGGAGAATTTAATTTTACTTTAGGGTAACAAGGCTGATTTATAATATTTTCCTTTCGTCTATGTTTTTGACCAACTATTGTAGTAAATGTTGCTTAAATCCTCTCTCAATGCTTTTCTACTCTGCCATGTTGCATTATCCTATATCTGAATTCAACTTCTGTATAGAGAGTTTGAGCCCTCTAGTTTATTTATTCATTAATACAATAATCCATGGAAAACCTCCAATGTGATATGCTGTATGAAAGTACTAGGGAAAACAAAGACAAGTGGGAAACAGACTCTCCCTTCAAGGACTCTATAGGACAGTGAGGAAGGCAAACTGGTCTAATGATTTGAATACAATGTAAAAGGACTATATTAGGACTACAGAGACCAAATAAAAAACATGTTAGACATACTGATGCTCAACTAGAAGACTCTGGGGAGATTTCACAAGCATTTGTTCCAATAAAAGACAAGTAGGGATGTGCAAAGCCATCAGTTACTAAAGGGTTCGAGTTAGATGATGTAAAGAAAAAGTTGACAGACTGAAAGAATAAAAAACAGGAAAAAACACACATGGGTACAGAGAAGGAATAACTTTTGGAAAAATACAGACATTTCTTGTATGTCTTTCTTGAATTGACAAGATGCTATAGAAAGGGAGTAAAAATTTCTAAAATGAGTAATATGTAGGACAAAGTCCAAGATGTGGTTCATCTGGGAATGGGTTAATGAAATAGATTGATGGTGAAGGTACTTGGAAAGGAAGAAATCAAGGAATTAGGGTACTAAAAGTGTCACCTATTAAGACACGGAAATCATTCAGAGAAATGGTAAGAAAAGAAAGGAGAAATGAGAATCAAGACTTCACTGACTGCATGAACATGCTGAAGACAGAGACAGGTAAAAGAGCTGACAGGAACTGACTGTAGGTAAGTCATTTCTTTTTATCCTTTTACTTTGAAATAATTTCAGCTTTATAAAAAAGTTGCAAAAACAGTACAAAGAATTCCTATATACTGGGTGAAGGCACCCAGATTCTCCAGATGTTAACATTTTACCGCATTTGCTTTATTATTCATTCTCTCCAAATTTACCTACCTACCTGCCTATCTACACATGTTAATTTTTTTCGTAACATTTGAGAGTAACTTACAGGCATGATGTACTTTGACTTTTCAAGTCAAATTTTAAGATGATGCAGCTCTGTCATATTGCATTTTGCCAAGTTTTCTTTACTCTTTTCAAAGCCTGACTTAATTTCAGTTTTTTTTTCTTTTTAAAGATTTTATTTATTTGACAGAGACAGACACAGCGAGGCAGGAACACAAACAGGGGGAGTGGGAGAGGGAGAAGCAGGCTTCCCGCTGAGCAGGGAGCCCGATGTGGGACTTGATCCCAGGACTCGGGGATCATGACCTGAGCCGAAGGCAGCTACTTAACGACTGAGCCACCCAGGCGCCCCCTTAATTTCAGTTTCTGAGTTAGTACTGTCTCCAACCAAGAGAAGATGATAGCACTTAGTGACTCTAACTCAGTCGTCAGTTATTTTCCCTAAACTCCCCAGCCCAGAAGGTAGATCATTATGGGGGCACCTCGGTGCCTCAGTCATTAAGCATCTGCCTGCGGTTCAGGTCATGATCCCAGGATGTTGGGATCGAGCCCCAC